CAAACTTTCAGAAAGACCATCAGAAAGAAATGGCACTTTTAATTCTTCTCAATTGATACTTCATTTGCAAATAATTTTCCTGTAACCTTATAGTTTAGAATATTCTTGAAATTATAATACAATCTACCAGAAAAGTTTCTTCATTTCCCATTTTTTCCAAAACGAGTTTCGAAGATTTCTCAGATATCATCGAATTTCGAATTATTTCCAAAGAGATTATTCTAGAAATATAATAAATTTCGTAAGTGTGAGTAAGAATATAAAAATATGCGGAACAAAATTTTTTGAAGTGCACCAATTGCAACCCAGACACTTAACTAAATACAAATTCAAATTCTATTTGGAAAACGAAACGTTAAATGGAAAATGTTATTCTACATTTCATTTGTTCTTGCACGCATCATTCAATAGAAATTACACTACAAATAAATTTAAATTTTCAATCTACTTTTACACGTAGAATTACCCTCCAACAATTGCACCACACAGTTTCACTAATGCAATTCGTTCATTTCTGGCAAATATGAAATTGAAAATTTCATTTGCAATTTAAATGCTAAGTTTTGAAGAGTTCTTTGAAAATTTCAGGAAAAACAGAGAAGAATACGTGAATAAAAAAAAGCTCCGTAGTATGCGTATAATAATAAAAACACATTCGTACGTGTGTGGAGAATATTATCCGCGTGAATTTCGTACGATACGCGCTAAGAATCGTTTGTGCCCGTATAGTTACAAAACTATTTAGAGACTCTACTTTGTTAATTTTTTTATTTAATATTATAACTGTGCTTTTACATAATAATAATAATAATAATAATAATAATAATAATAATAATAATAATAATTTTATAATTCGACTGCGAACTTTCATGAAAAATTTAAAGATATAGGAACGATATATGAAATTGTAGAAAATATTCAAAATGGAAATATTGAATTTATGGTGAATCGAACCTGCAGCTAAGTTCGCAAAAATTGAATTTTCATAAAGATTCTTCAATGTGCTTTTACACGATCGTACAGGGAATAAAATTATTTCCAAATAGATTGTTTTGAACTTTTCAAACTTTTTAAGGTACGAACGATATCACCGAAAGTAAATTTCTCGTTTTTCTCGCAGGCGAGATGATAATTAGCAACCACAAATACTCGATGTCGGAGTTGAAGACGTCCGTGTACAGTGTACAGATGCGGCTGGTGATCATGAATCTACAGAAGCAGGATCTCGGTGGTTACAAGTGCATCTCGAAGAACTCGATCGGCGACGCGGAGGGGAACATTCGACTTTACGGTGAGTAAGTTTTCACAGACGACGCGTTTACGAGAGTCACAAAAGTCCCGGCTCCGAGAGCTTCCCGACTTCTTCCACCATCTCTCTGTTCACCTTTTTCTACCTGTCGCGAAACAATTTTTCTTAACGTTGCAACCTGCACTTACACTTCGGCGTTGGCGATTTGATGAAAAACGTTCGATTTCGTTAAAGAAGCACTAATGGAAGAGCAGCAAAATTCGCTGGAATGTAGAACTTCCAGTGTTATTAGTAATGAAGCAGAAAAACGAAGATAAATGTGTATTAAAATACGTACAATATCAGATGTTATGGCTCTAGCTATATGGTGTCTTGTAATTTTTACATTTTCTTAGAGAAGTGAAACATTTTCATTTGCCGAATCACGTATATTGAGTTACAACATTTTTCGTATTTATTTGAAATATTGCGTTACTTGAATTTACTGAATGGAAGTATTTCTCGAGCTCCTTGTTCTTTTCATAATGGAGTTATAAGATACTTCGTAGAATCATTAACTGTAAATATTATTCTTTTCATAATTATTCTTTTCATAATGGAGTTATAAGATACTTCGTAGAATCATTAACTGTAATTAAAAAATATGAATTGTTATAATAATTAAAGATATTAATTAACCGAGATACAATTAAAAAGGAAATAGACCAAAAGAAAAGTATACAACAAGGAATACAGAAAACAGAAGAAAATATGACATTTAAAGTAAAGATACTCATTCCCTCTTCAGATCTACGTATTAAATATTAATAATGAATTACAATGGCTATTATAATTTAATAGATATTGTTAAACTGTATAGTTTTTAAACATTTAGTTTAAATGTTCAACGTAATTTTACGATTATGAAATATCACATTTTTACAGAGAGAAAAAAAAAAAAAAAGAATATTCCGAGGAAAAGAAAGATGTTTG